TCGTATTCTCCAACACTCACGTAAATTGCACGGGCCATTGTGTAGAGACACGCGTCGCCGGGGCTCACCACACAATTGCTCCTACGTTATGATAATGGTCGTGTACTTAATGTCCCTTTACTGAGGTACGTCATTTCAGATGTCATTCATGATGTTCCATGAGATAGTCATTTATGATGTTTCTTTCGCAACCCAGCACGTCGTAAATCAGCGCTTAAAATTGCAATTAAATTGTTGCCAGCAGGGAACGAAATCTTGCTTACGTACTGAGAAATTTACAGGGCGTTCCTAGCCCATGAGCCACCACGGGTTTATTATCATCATATTGAACGTGGTAGAGCCACGCTGCTGCTATGTGATGGGTCGGCTCGACCGGGGAAGGACCACGAGCGTAAAATAGCAGTTAAATGTTGCTATGTTTCGTGTAGTAAGTGTCGAAAACCGGAGACCCTTTTTACTGGAAACGTGGCATTCTTATTACTTAGTCCTCAGGGCTTACAATGCATTTTCATTTTGATTATTAACTGAGGATAGATGTAGGTGTACATGGACCTCAAAATACACTTACCGACGGATGGACTGCACACTCACTCGTCTCCCTTATCCTATAAAAAAAACATCATTAAAGGCTATTGAAATCTACTGCTGAACATAGACCGCTTCATAGCTTGCCTCACAAGGGGGATATTTGCCACATTTGCAACGCTTGGCAAATATTCCCCTTGTGATAGCAATCATCTCGCACGCAGACTCGACGACTTTCTGCCTCCCGAACAAGCCGGTTTACGAAAAGGCTTTAGCACCATAGACCACATACATAAACCTTCGGCAAATTGTGCAGAAGTCCGAAGAGTACAATTTGCCACTTTGCCTGGGGTATGTGGACTATGAGAAAGCCTTTGATTCCGTCGAAATGAGGAAGCACTGCCCAAGTGCTACAGTCTCTTCAGCGGTGCCAAGTTGACTGTCGGTATATCGAAGTGCTGAGCTGTTTGTACAGTAGGGCTACGATGGCTATCCGAGTACAGAACCAAAGTACTCTAGATCTTAAGATCTTAAGATGATGAAACCTATCCAATTGCAGAGAAGTGTAAGACAGGGTGACGTTTTATCCCCGAAACTCTTCACCGCTGCGTTGGAAGACGTTCTCAAGCTACTGGGCTGGAAAGGATACGGTATTAACATCAATGGCGAATACATCACCCACCTACGATTTGCCGACGATATAGTCCTTATTGCAGAATCGCTGGAGGACATAAGCACTATGCTTAATGACCTCAACAGTGCCTCCCAACGGATAGGTCTTAAGATCAACATGGACAAAACAAAGATCATGTTTAATGTCCATTTCACACCTATGCCGGTAGTTGTTGGAAGCACTATGCTTGTAGTTGTTGACGAGTATGTTTACCTGGGACAAATAGTCTGACCAGGTAAGTCCAACTTCGACCGAGAGGTCAATCGACGGATTCAACTCGGCTGGGCAGCGTTCGGAAAGCTACGTACTAAAAACGAAATTGTACAACCAGTGCGTGTTGCCAGTGATGACATATGGAACTGAGACGTGCTCTTTCACTGCTGGCCGTATGAGAACGATCAAAGTCGCTCAGCGAGCTATGAAGAGGTCAATGCTCGGGGTTTGTCTGCGTGATAAACTTAGAAATGAGGATATCCGCGGTATAACCAGACCACAGACGGTGACCGACATAGTCCAATGGATTAGTAAGCTAAAGTGGCAATGGGGCGGCCATATAGATCGAAGAACCGACATCCGTTGGGGAAAAAAGGTTCTCGAGTGGCAGCCTCGTACCGGTAGGCGGAGTGTAGAGCGACCCCCCACTAGATGGAGTAATGACCTGGTTAGACATGCAGGAAGTCGATGGATGCAGGTGGCTCAGGACCGTGCTTTGTGGCATACCTTGAGGGAGGCCTATGTTGTATGTATGAAAAGGTTAGCTGGCAGAGAATACCTTTTCGGCATTAAGTTCGCCTTTGTACCAAATTGTTTTGTGTGAGTGCAGAAAAGAATTTTCTATCTATCTATCTATGTTCAGCTGTAGACTTGTGAAGGGCTGTAATGATGATGATGATGATAGCAAGCGCAGTTTTTTTATTAATTTGAGTTATTATCATGAAGATGCTGCTGCCCATGTCTTTTTTCATTTCAGCGTTACAACGCCTCTACATGGCAGAACAGAATCATTCATACAGCTGATGTTTCAGTAGCATTGTCAATATTTCAAAAAGAAACAAGCCACTAAAACTATGTATTACCCCAGGAGTAAGAATATCAATTAGGAAGAGAGATAGGCTTCAAAAATAACTTAGGTATGCTTACAACGCCTCTACATGGCAGAACCACGTTGAAAATTCAGTGTTGGAGTCATAAATACAGCTAATGGGGTAAAAACTAAGCCACTGCGCCACGAAGCTTGTTTATTTTATCATTTTTTTAAAATCTAATGCTGGGGCCACTCTAATGAGAAATGCCGTTAATTATCGCGTTGATGGACGTTGAATGTAGATGTGGCCACAACTTATCGCGCTACTTTGACAATGACATTAACAATGCCGTTTGACGTTTACGCTAAACCTCGAGTAGCGGTACATCAAAGACCACGTTGAAGCGGCCACACTACGTTTGTCTGATTGTGCACGCTGAGCGCAACAAGGTCGCACGTATGGCTATGATGGAGCGGAATAATAAAAAAGTTATTACATTTCTTAAGATTCTGCAAACAGAGCCATATTTGTGGGATCCGAGACTCAAAAGTTTTAAGAATCGTACAGCGCAAAATGATACTTTGCGACGAATTATCCAATTATTATCTTTTAATATAACTATCTATTATAATCCAAAATTTTATTTAGTTTTAAAACTCTGTAAGTTAAGGAAAATAAAAGAGGCTTTACTACTACTACTACTACTACTACTACTACTACTACTACTACTACTACTACTACTATTAATATAACTAACGACGAATTAGAAAGGCGAAGGAAAACCTTATGGGGTTTTATAGAACCATTTTTAATAAATATAAAAAGTCTTCAAGGAACTATAACGCCGTTCAATGACAATGAAATTTAATGACGTGGAGCGTTCAAGTGTAGCCAACTTTATCGTGTTATATTTGTTTGTTTACAGGCATTGACGTTTCCCGTTAGTGTAGCACCAGCAATAACGCGTTCGCTTGATGCTCGACGCAGAGGCGGATAGGCGGGGCGATACCATAGCAACCAAGGTCACCATGGTCATTGAGCATAGTGCTTAGGTCCTACAGCGTTTCTGCCACAAGGACTATATCATCGGCAAATCGTAGGTGGGTGATGTACTCTTCATTGATGTTAATACCGTGTGCTTTCCAGCCCAGTAGCTTGGAAACGTCTTTCAATGCAGCGGTGAAGAAAAAACATATGAGTGTTACTAAATTAATTAATTTTGTCTTCCAAAATAATAAAAAACCCCTTTACAGTTCTAAATTCAAGTTAGTTTATATTTGCTACATACATGAGGTTTATATTATAAGGAGTAATAGTAATAAATAGAACTTTTAAATTTGTGAAACATTAGCCTACACTGAATCAAATTGAAATTTTTAAAAAAATATGTCCGCTGGATTGTGCATGTGCTTATTTCTTGTTATTTCGTATTTTTGAGTATTTTATCGTAATTGCTTGTGTATAGCACAAAACAGAGAGCTCAAGAATGTGCTTTAAGATAGATTTTGAAATTGGTGTAGTGACAAATATAATAAAAGACTTATAAAATAATATGTTAATTTCAACCCTGTAATTTTTATGGTGGTTTGTAGTAAGTTACTTTCTACATTATGTGCAGACAACATGGAATTTTATAACATCTCACGTTTTGGTGTTATTTTATTTTCAAAATATCATCTTTTTTAAAATTGTGAAATAAATATGTTAACAATACTGAAAATCTTTCTTATTGCTTAAGTATTTATGCCGATTTCTAAGTAACAAAAAGTGTTTTATTGTTATTTAGAAATACTTAATAAAAATAACAATATGAAAGGAGTAGTATAGAGGTATATATCGTATATATAATATAATATATAATATATTATGTATAGTTGAAGTAATAGTTAATAAACTAGCTTCCAGGCGACGCTTGTTGCGTCGCAAAATTTTTACGTTAGAAATTGTTATCTGTTTCCGTATATACACTCTTATCTAAGCGACTAACGACCGTTCGTAGTTCTTCATCCATGTGTCGCCCCACACCGCATGAATGCCTCGACTAAACGCCTTCGATAGCCGACTGTTAGTAATAGTTAGACTGTGACGCTACCGTTTATTTTCTGGTTTGTTTACCTTCGTCATCTTTTACGACGCCCTCGGGAAGGTATAGGGTATTGGATATTCCCACACCGCCACTACTCGATCTAGTGGCAGTAAGAGAATTGATCACTCCATTTGTCCCGAGGGTTTTCACATAAAATTAAGGTCAGCCTTACACAAGCATACAGTCCATCTGATGGTAAGTAAATGCTGTGAATCATAGACACCTACATTTCTCCTCGATTAAGAATCAAACTACAGATACGTTGTCACCCAGGGGTATAACTCGAAACTAGATATTACATTTTGTAACTCAGGAATTACGAGATGTAATGCCTAGTTACGAGTTATAAGTGTAGAATTCAGAATAATCGACCGCAACTCACATGAAGTCCGGGTAGTAACGTTACTCACCTGATAAGAAAATGTTACTCACAGGAATAATAGGATGCTTTCACATTGAAACAACAAATAGGTACATATTTTTATTTATTGTTAGACTGACACAACTGCTAACATCAATAAATGTATTTTTAACAAGTTCATCACCGAAAACATGCTTTAAAAACTACAACCTACTCAAAACAATTACTTAGGCGGTGAAAATAACAAAACAAAAAAAGGAACTATTACTTAAAAAGGAACTTTAATATATTTATTACAACTGGTAACTTGAGTGATAATTATGTAATTCTTTAATCAAAATATATATAATCATCGTCGTCAAGAAATACAAAATCAGTCTCATTTTCATTGATCGACATTAATTCTACAGTCTTGACAATATTCTTACAATCTATTAGCTCTACTTCCATTGACTTTGTCTTAATAAATTTTGTATTGTCATTTTTGCCAACTTTTCTTAAAAAAAGATATTTTTACCTTGTAATATTCCACTATTTTTTTTAAAAAGTATCTAACCAATACATAATCGTATTTTTTTAAATCAATGGGAACAGTTTCTAAGTTGGAACTTGAAGAGGACTGTGGTTCTAAATTTTGATTCGCCTCTAAAGCAACTGGTTTATTCAAATGCAACATAGTATCTGGGATAAGGCAAGTTTTAGTCTTTTCAATTTTAACTTTAACATTTTTTTTGCAGCCTTTAGATTTTGATTTAATAATATTAAAATCTGTATCTTGCATATCCGGGCTATCTGATTCAGAAGCAACGTCGCAAATATCTGAATCACTGTGGACACTCATAGCGATGTCACTATTGCTTGATTCATCTTCTTCTTTTTTTCTTTTTAACATCTTATCTTTTCTTTTAATCTCTTTTCTCGTTTTTCTTTTAAGCCGGTCATAGTTTTTAGTGTTAAGAGATGATAAGTTTTCTTTATTTTCATTATTGGTAACAATCTTTGGGGTACATTTTGAGGGCGGAATTATAACTTGCGATATAATCTTGGGTTTTTGTTTTACAGTCGTCAAGACGTTAGTGTTAATATTAAGTGAGTTCTGATTTTTTGCCATCAATACAATTTTTGTTCCAGCAGTTTCCCGAATGATGCAACTACTTGCTTTTGTTTTCGATTGAAAAATTCCACCATCGTCATGTATAATATCAATGTCATTGGTTGATATTCCATGTGAAACCACGGGAATTTCTGGCAGCACTGCTCCGCGTTCATTCAATTGCCCAGCTTCCTCATTGTTGCGCATCTTTTTACTAACATTGGTTGAACAATTTATCTTGTGGACTATAGTTTTTTCAGGACGTGAGTTTTCGCGTTGTAGCATTCGCAAATCCCTCTTGGCAAAGATGACTCACAGAAATAACTGACATTGCGGTACCTTAGTGTTGTTGATGGAACATGGTAAGTAATTTGATGTAATCGAGTAGTAAGTGGTACTGGATCCAAGTCATTCGGTATCTGGTTCTGTGCATCCCGAATATTAATTTCAGAGACTGAAAATATTGTAACAGATGATTCTTCAGTTAAAATAGACACAGCATCGTCGGCAGAGCTAACATCATTTCCACATTCCACTTTTTGATCCAGCAGTCTTTTTACAGCACCACCTACTCCATCGGCAGCACCCTTGCCGTACGCAGCTTCGAAAAACGTCCAGGTTCCAAAAGTTAATTTATACTTTTTGCATAACTCTGTAAACTGGTAAAATTTTTTTTGTTTATATTGCGTACTTGGACCGTCTGAGAAAAAATGTATGGTATCTATGTCGGGATTGCTTGTTAATAATAATTCAATTATAGGTTCTATGTGGGCTCTGATGGCTCCAGGGTCATGTAAGTTACAGTCGGACAGAGAAGCAAAAGGAACCTTTTTTTGTTGTAAATATGCCATGCCAGTGTGGATCATAATTTGGCCCTTTGATGCTCCGAAATGAAGAGCCTGTATCTCTTCTCCTAATTTACAGGAATAATTTTCTGAGAAATCTATTATTAGAGCTGCTTCATTGGGTAGTAGGTTATCAATAACTTCTCGATATTTTTTGTGCTGATGATTTATATTAAAGAAATGCTGCCGGAATGCACGTAGTATCAGCTAAAAACATTTCTTTGAGTTCTGAAAATGTACCCTTAATACTTTCTTTAACATATTTCTTTGTAGTAATAATTTTTCTTCCTATTCCCTTCTCAAACGTAAATTCCTTTCTAATCCGCTGTATCCATGTGCATTCTGTATTGTTTGTAATATCTGTCAAATTCATTTCAGGATTGTTGTCTTTACACTTTTCACAATTTAAATACATACAGTCGTACGATTCAACGCTGCACACACTCGATGCAAGTAATTCTTGCAAATCGGAAGTACCTATAACGCCAATTTTCTTTAAATGAGCAACTTTGAAGGCTAAGTTACTGTGCTTTATACATGCAACGGTGTTTCTATCAATCAACTTTGGCCGTACCACATTTCTTGGCCTATTTCTTCTGAAAGTTGAAAATGAGACTTTTCCTCCCTCGCTTACGTATTTTGTGTAAAGTTTCTTCAATGAAGTAAGCAAGAATTGCTTCTGTAATTTATCATTACCTCTACCAACACATTCTTTCTTGCCAGCTGTCATTCTAGTGTTATCATCCCTGTTGAAAAAAATACGTATTTCTTTAGCTTCTTTGTATGTCCTTTCCTTTTTCTTAAATTTTCTTACTCTCCCTTTCAGTCCCAATGATTTCGAAATATCAGTTTTCAGATTATATTTTTCTATTGCTTCGGATGAAACAATGTCTTTTAGGATCTGTTTTGAATTAATGTCATGTTTTTCATATGCTGTCTGTAACGAAGCACTGATCACATTCAGCTGCAGGATCTGTTTTTTAACTTTATTTTTTTCAGGAGTGGATATGGATGGAATATTTTCATTTATAAAGGATAATGTCTTAGACATGGGAGTTTTTTCACGTAAATCTTCATTTTCAGATTTGTCATTTGTGGTCAGTCCGGATGAGGTAGTTGGTGCATTAATGTCTGTAGGTACAGATTCACTGTTGGTTTTATTCTCTGATGAGTTTATTAAAGATTTGTTTTCCGTTCGTTCTGAATTTGAGATCAATTTGCGCAGCTCTTCAATTTTAATTTTATGTGTATATAGGTTTTTTGTAAAGAATGTTTCTTCAGCAATATATTATCTATAACTTTCTTTTGATCTGTTATTCGCTTCTTCAATTTTTCACATAATCGTGCATTTAATGCACAACACTTGTTGTTCTTTGGTTTTGTTACACCACCTTCTTTTTTTTGGCAAGTGTCCATTCTCGTCGCTTTTTTTCCTTTTCTTTTTCAGCCAGTTCCGGAATTGGTCTTCTAGCAGCTTTCATGTATTCTCTATGCTTCTTCTTTTTCTCCTCGTATTTTTCTGCATTTTGTTTTATTTTTTCACGGTATTTTCTTTGTCTCTCAGCATTCGACATTGGCGCCATCTAAAAGTAAGCATGTAAAGTCAATTAGTTTTAATGAATGCACAAATACGTCCAAAAAGTCCAATCCATTAAATTTTAAAATAATAATAATAGATTATTCCAGAAATAGATGCCAGTATATTTCATGCATATATTTATATATATAAAAAAAATAAACAAAAACCGACAGAGAGTTTTACTTGTTTTTATATAAAAATATAAATTCTAAAATTCCTCCTTTTTTTGAAGTCGGTTAAAATACGAACAAAACCAAGCGGTTCGGAAGATGAATGGGGTTTTCGTTCGGAGTGAACAACTCGTTATTGATTGCAGGTGCAGTTACTATACAAACTGATTCGTTTTACCAAGTGTTACTCACAAATCTATAAAATCCTGTGAGTAACAATTAGCAGTATGAACTAGCCCTAAGTCGTGTTACGTTATCCACAGGAAGGAAAAATATGGACTATAACCTCTAAAATGCATCGTCATACGACAAATATCTTACCTTGAAAACAATGTCTCTGTGTTGTATGAGCACCAAAACATACTATTTCAGACTGTGTATCCAGACCCGCGTAATTCACTTTAGAATTTATCTCACTCACTAGTTTTTCACAGGAATATTTTGGACAATTTTTTCTGTGCGCGCACTTTTTCAACCAAAACATAATGAAGTGACAACATGGCGTTCTCAAAAGTCACGAGATGTGAGTAACAGTGTTGCTAGCATAAAATATAATTGCGATATGATAGAATTTCTTTTCGGGAGCGTTTAAAACACCGTTATCTACCTGGAGTTATTCACAGGAATGATATTTGGGATTTAATTATAAACAGTAATTAAATAATTATAGACATAATAAATTAACGATTACATGAATGAAAACAATAATTAAGTCACCGGTTTTTACTTAACAGTATATAATATTGCAAAAATTGCCTAGTATTGATTATTTTATAATATGTAAATTTTCATTACGCAATAGGACACTTTCATTTTGTATGGACGTGAAATTAGTGACTTTAGTTTGCTAATATTTTTTTCGGTAAGTTATATTCTAAACATAACTAAAATGGCTTGTTTTCCTGTAAATTAATTGTCCTTTAAAACAAAATTGGTTATAACTTGTTATGACCCGAACTAATCTTTATATAAGCTGAAAACGGTCGAGGACACATATTTTTTAAAATCATGTACGATTATTTTGACCTCTACCCATAAGTGCCTCCGGTTCTCTACACTCAGCATTCGAAACACAGCAGCGTCATGCATGTTTTGAACATGTTCTTGAATTTTTAACGGCTTAGACTCGTAGACTAAGGTTCGACATAGAGCTTATTTGAAAGTAGTTATCGGCCCTGAACAGTACCACCTACCGGGTCAAAATGTAAATTTAAGCCATCTTGGGACCCATTAAAATACACACCAAAAATTTCATCAAATTTGGTCGAGCCTTTTTTTGATTATTAGAGAAACTAATGAACAGCAATTGATTTTTATATTTATTTATTTAATATATTATTACATTCATTAATTACACATTACGTTACGGTACAATCATACGTTTATAGAAAATTTACCGTGTACCGGTATAACCGACAACAACAAATATGAGGGTGTACTAAGAAAAAAGAAATACACTTAGTATTTATGACCTTCTATTGATCCTATATATTATACGGGGCGCTTGTTTTAGATCCTCATCGTAGTATTTATTATTAAACACATTATGTATAATTTAAATTAGTCGTAATGCATTCCATAAAGTAATTTTTTAATTTTAATTTAATATTTTTTGATTCAGTTCTGATTTTACAGATACTATACTTTTATAAATTACTGGTACCTGGTTAACTAGGTAATCATACATTCTAATAAATAAAGAGGTTAGGTGTGTGCTATATGGTCGCGGCTCAACATAATAAAATTCAGTACTCCGTTTCGTTCCGTGGCTATGCAAAACGAAATGTTGACGCGACAAAAGCGCCGCCACACTTTTTATTGGAAGATAAAGCCGACTTCAAAAAAATTAAAAGGACAAAATTACTTAACATTCTAAAGTCAGAGTTTCAATTTTTCTATACATTACAATGTCTTTGCATTCATTTCAGAATGTGAAGTTATTTTATTCTTTTATAAAGTCAGTTTCATATTTTATGGCATACAATGATTTATATATTGCAAAACGTACGTTATCGAATTTCGCTTAAAGACCGAGTCATTTAAACTGACACTGGAGCATAGCTCGCCAGCTCACCAAACAAGCGTGGAAATCAAACAGGCTTCGTTCGCACGTCGCCACCTCCGTACACGTTGCCACACTACAATGGAGCTTTATTTGTGTTAATGCTCCTGCTAACAATAGAAATTTGGACCTAACTTACGCTTGTGTGGGCTTTGTGTGGAATTAATTTTATATCGCTTTCGTTTATACAAGGTTACGTGTTTAATTAACATTTATTGTAAAGACATTAATAGTTACGCTATAATAGTGCCTAGTTTGAAGAGCACCTCCCGCCCTCCCTCAATTGCGTGCACTAATTTCGTCATCATTAATCCCAGCACCACTACTCCCAACACCACTACTCTCAAAACCACTATTCTAGGAAAGACACAGTCACTCAGTGAGCTATGGAGAGGGCTATGCTCGAGGTTTATCTGACGTGACGAGAAGATGCGTCGTAATCTCCCGAACTACGACTAGACTACGTTTTGAAACGTAGTCTTTTATTGCTGGTCTTATGAGAAAGTTCAAGGTCACTCAGTGAGCTATGAAGAGGGTTATGCACGAGGTTTCTCTGCGTGATAGGCTTTAAAATGAGCATATTATCCGCAGTGGTATCAGAGTAACTGACATAGCCCAACGACTTAGTAATCTGAATTAGCAAAGGCCGGCTATATAGCTCAAAGAACAGACAACCGATGGGGAGAAAAGATTCTCGAGTGGCGACCTCTAGGCAAAGTTTAGGGTGACATAACCTAGTAAGACATGCAGGAAGTCGATGGATGTAGGTGGCTCAGGGCCGTTCCTTGTAGCATTACTTGAAGGCAGGTCTATGTTCAGCAGTGGACTCTTCAAAGGCTGTAATGAATGAAAATGAATGTGGGAATAGGAGTCTTTTTAACAGACGGAACATTTTTCTTACTTTTCGTGTTTGCATGAAAAAACATAACCAGTGTATATGCTATATATTTTTACTCAAAAATGTCACATCGAATAGCACAACATGAGGACGCTTTAATAATGGCTCTCCCACGTGTAGTATACAATCAGTAATTTTCACTTTAATGAAACACCCCGCTCCTGTTGCATTATGTTTCAAGCATGCATGAGTCTGCACGACCGAGGAACGACCAGGCTCTCACTGAAAACCAGCATAAAATAGTAACTTAATACTGCTGTGTTTCGTATGGTGAGTGCTTGAACGAATTAATTCGTTCAAGGGTGTGCAAGCACCGGAGACACTTTAACCCTCAAGGGTGACAACGCATCTGCATTTTGATTTTTAATTGAAGATAGATGTAGATGTCTATAAGATACATTGAAGTAATATGTACTGGCGTACTAGAACAGCTATCTCAAACAAAAAATGTGCGCTACTCTGTGTTCGCGCGGTTGTTTTTTTTATCATACGAGTAGAATAAACATAGGTAGAATGACCCGTAGGTAATAGTATTGTGTTGTTAAATAGGTAAATTATATCGAGAACAATATTTAAATTTTTTCATTTATTTTGTATATTATATTTGCTCATTTAATATAATATTACATTATATTATATCACAATTACATTTTAGTGATATTTTTACCTGCATATTTTAAAAGGTATCTAAGTCAAATTTTTATATTTATAAAAAACATACTAAATATATGTTTAACAAAACTTATTAACACAACGTTTAAACTACAAATATATTTATTTAAATTAGAATAAAAGTCGTTCATAAATGCTGGGCACGCGAGAGTTAAAAATGCGACTATTTATACCACTTTGACTTTGATGTGGAACCTAAAAATGAAATAAAAGAATAATAAGCAGACTTAAACATGAACATTTTGCCAAATTATAATAACTTATATATGTTTCTAAAAAAAAAATGTGTATAATAATATAGTCCTACACTTAAGTACCCACTGAAATGTCGCATCTGAACATATTAATTTCATAATCTATATTCCCTGACACGAGATGGCGTCTTAGGAATAATTTGTTTTATTATTAATACGTAATACTTTTTTTTATTGATTAAGCATCTTTTTAACCGATGAAAAGTAATTCCTTGATTTTTACTGACATTTCTTGAATTATTTGTGCAATATCTAAGTACACACGACGGCATATCTTTTTCAAGAGATTTTTTTAAATCAACACAACACGTGACAACTCTATAAGCGCCTAGCGAGTGACTGACTAAAGTGCGGTGTATGCACCGCAGTTGAGTGGAACACAGTAGCTGAATGCAGTGTCTCCTCTAGTATGTAGTTCATAATAGCTCAATGATAAGATAAGATAAGATTAGATCATTGCTAGTATTTTTAAACAAAAAAAAAACATACGAGTATAATTATTTATTGTTACAACTGCGTACATGAGGTCCTACAAAAATATATAGTTACAACAGTTTGTTCATTTCGGATAAACAATATAAAATAAAAATAAAACATAACAATAAATCAATAATTACTTCTAAAATATTCATCTAAATTATAAAAACATTTTGATAATAACCATTCTTTTAGCTTTTTTAAATCGTGGACTCTCTAATGACCTAATGAATATATGTTGGTAACTGGTTAAGGATTCTGATTCCACTTAATAAAGTACGTAAGTAAAATTTAATAATGCACACATTAAAAGCATTTATTTATTTATATTTTTATTTATATTTTAGAAACATTGTACAATGCCGGCTTATAAATATATGTCAATGCTTAGAGTATGCCCAAAACGTCTAATTTACAAATCATAGTTTTAAATAATATTAATAATACTAGATACATGTCAAAAGGTCAAATAAATTAAATAATAGATGTCCAATAGATAAAATTTTAAAAAATACATGCCAAGTAGATTAGAAGTCAAATAATTTAAGCAAAATATCAGTGTCAAATTGATTTCATAAGATTAAAAGAATATATTACAATATGTCAAAATTGGATGTCAAAAATAGAAGGGCTTTGTTACATAGTTGCCGAAAGCTATCAGCAAATAAGTCAGTCTCGTAATCATGTGTGAGCATATCTCCAATAAGACGTATAGCGCGAGAAGTGGGCGCGTGAGTGCCGTACCTGGTGCTCGCCGGCGGCCGCCACAAAAGACGCGGGCGCCGCCGCGGTGCCACCGTCCCCTCCACATCACAGCCCAGCCGCTTCGGAGCCAACAACCCTACTCTGCTTAATATTGTTACGAGCTTAGGGTTCGTGACAATAAAAACTGCCGATTGAATTACGAAAATTGACACTTTAATTATTGAACACGAATTAAAACTTAAATCACACTAATAATTATTCACACTTAACACTTTAGTTCACTTTATTT